AGTTGCTGAAGGTGCCGGCGCACCTGAAGGTCGTGGACCACAGATCTGTGTCGAAGCAGCCCCTCGAGGGTGGGCGGCAATTCTTTCCCACGCCGCTTTAAGGCGCCCCTTGCGAATGGTATCCAGCACTCGAACCCGCTGCGGAGCGCGGGCAACGAGCGCGGGCATGCGCCCAGCAGAGCGCTAACCCAGGCCCTGCGCGCCCGTGCTTTTCCGGCCGCTGGGGATGTGACGAGGGCTCCGGCCCTGGCAGCTTCGGCCCGCGGCCCGCGCATGTCTCGGCGACCCTCGCGCCCGGCGATTGAGAGCGCCCGCCGGACAGCGGACGCAGGGTCCGCCGGGGGAGCTGCGCGTGCCCTGCCGCTGCCCTGGCGCCCGCACTTAGCGCCGCGATCGACGCGCCGCGATTTCGCGCCCGCACCGTGGAGGATGACGAGACTGACTCGCTCGATCAGGGCGTCCGCCTCGCGACGCCGGTCTGGCTGCGGCCGACGCGGAGCACCCGCGGGCGAACGCCGAACGTGCGAGAAGGCCTGGGGGCAATCCCGGGCGAGGGAGCGGGCGCGGGAGCGGCGCCCATGCCGCCCCTGCCTAGTGCAGCTGGCGTGCCGCCGCGCTGTGCTGCCGCGATAGCCGCGCGGGCCACCTCGCGGACGTCGCTAGATAATGCCGCGGCGCCCCTGAAGTCTGCCATGGTGACGCCAACCAAATCGCTCACGGCGTCGGCGCCGTTATCGGCAAGCAGCGCGGCAGCAGCGAACGCAGGAGTAGGGCGCGCCTCAGGGCAAACCGCGCGAAGCTGAGCGATCAATCCAGCCAGCGCCATCGCGCGAACACCGAGGTGCGCCGACAGTACAGAGATGTTCGCGCGCGCGCAGGGCGAAGCGCGACCGCGACGCGCGCGAGGGAGGGCGCCAACACCTGCCCGTCCTGGCGGGCGCGCCCTGACCGAGGAGGGAAGGCCAGATGCAATGCGCACGTGCCCGGCGCCCGAGCTGGTCATGGCCAGCGATGGCGAAGCCGCGCGCTCGGGTCGAACCGCGCGTCGTCCAGCGCCGGAAGAATCATACCCCTAAACCAAAGGTTTCGATGGGGAGGAAAATCTAAAGCCCCGCCTGATGTAAACCGGTTGGTGGATTCATCAGTTGATGGCTTTAACCGTGTACGTAAACTCGTGGGCAATCACGGCTTGGGCTCCCGACGGAGCAGCGGATTTCTTCCAAGGCCTGGTTGGCTCCAACTCGGAGCAGCGGTGGTCCCACCTGCACACAACGGGGGCGGGGGTTGTTGTTGTTGTTGTTGTTGGGGGGTATGCACGCCCGGACGGCGGCCCCCGCCGACCTATCCAAAGACGAAGCGTACAGGCCGACACGAGATGCCCGCAAGGAGGAAGGGGGAGGCGGAGCAGGAGGAGGGGGGGGAGGAGGGGGAGGGGGAGCAGGGGAGGAAGGGGGAGGCGGAGCAGGAGGAGGGGGAGGAGGAGGGGGAGGGGGAGCAGGGGAGGAGAGGGTATCTCGTAGCGGGCCACAGGGACACCCAAACACTCGTTTGCGCAGGGTCCAAATGGTGGGCGGTTCCCCCTTGAAAAAGCGATTGGGATCACTGTGCACCCGTGCATCCCGGACAACGTACACAACAGAAAAACGTACCACGCACACACTCACGAGTACGCACAACACAACACACGGTACCAGACACAAAGTACATACACGCACAGTGCGTATCCCTTTATGCGACTCCCCGTCCATGCGACGTTCCCTCCCGCACGGTTCTCAAGCGGCCTGGATCCTCCGAGGTTGCATCGCATGCCAACGGGGTGCGAGACCCCCACCCAAAAAGGCCCGGTGCAAGACCGGACCCCGGCGCAGCGGGCGGCCCGAAGGCGAAGGCGGCACAAGCAACCAAGCGAGAACACGGGCACGCACAGCTCGCAGCTTGGCGAAATGCAGGATTACGCTCGAAACCCGCCAGATCCCGGACAACGTGCACAACAGAGTAGCGCACCACACACACTCACGAGTACGCACAACACAACCCACGGTACCATACACAAAGTACATACACGCACAGTGCGAATCCCTTTACGCGACTCCCCGTCCATGCGACGTTCCCTCCCGTACGGTTCGCAAGAGGCCTGGATCCTCCGAGGTTGCATCGCATGCCAACAGGGTGCAAGACCCCCACCCAAAGAGGCCCGGTGCAAGACCGGACCCCGGCGCAGCGGGCGGCCCGAAGGCGAAGGCGGCACAAGCAACCAAGCGAGGACACGGGCACGCACAGCTCGCAGCTTGGCGAAATACAGGATTACGCTCGCAACCCGCCAGAGTTCCCCCACCCACCCTCCGAGAAACGCCAGAAGAACCAAACGTTTCCAAACTGTTCGGTAGCAACTGGCGTCCCTGGTTGCCTGGCCAAAACATGTAAGGTCGACACCTTAGGACCGGCAGCGCGCCGCACAGTAACCCGCGCTCCACCTACACCAGGGTGCGGTGGTCAGGCGCCCCCCAGCGCTAACGACTAGTGTGTGGCCAGGGGAGATGCCCGGAGACATCAACCGCCCCCGACCCAGGGACTGTCGAGTGATGCCCTCCCGCCCTGGCAGGAGACACGAGCAAGAACAAAAGGAACGAAAGACCCAGGGCACAATGCGCACAGCGGACTCGGAGTCCATCCGCTGTGCACTGCAGGGGTTTGCCGTGCCGGCTCGCGCAACACTTCTGCAAACCATGGACTAGTCTCCATCCTATGTAGCCGGCCCGTTGCCCCACGACCCGGCCGGGCGGCCTGGGCATCCATGGGTCCACATAATCACAAGCGCGCTAAACGAGGCACAGTAGCTCCTTTCCGACTCGGCGGTCTGTGGACGCGCCGGTCGAGATGGCGAGTCTCGACCCGACGCCGCGGCCCAAGGAGCAGGGCGTGGGGCGGTGAGGATCAAAACCGCGCCCTCCTATGAAGAGTCTGAGCCCGAACAACCAAACCAGTAATTACCACCCAGCCCAAAAGACCCTCCTTTGCAAAACAACTATAGTTCATGGAGACTCGTGGCACGAAGCACACGCACAAGCACAACACGCATCACGCACAATACAAGATTGGAAACACACCTCCGAACGCGAACTCCTTGAACCAACACTGCATGACCCCGCCGCCCGCGGGGGCGGGGGTGCTTTGCACTTGTGCAGCACGCCCGTCCTCGACCGACCCCGGGGGGGCCGCGTCCCAAACGGGCGCGTAATCCGAATATCGATGCTGACGCCCTTTCACCAGAGAACTCAGAATCCCACCAGCCCTCTGGGCGTAGGTGGTCTAGAGCAGATCCTCTTCCACCCCTCCCTCTTCCCCCTTGGGGAGGGGTTTACCCCTCCCCCTACCCCCTCCCCTGGACCTGGACGGGGGGGGCCGCGGGTAGTTAGAGCGTCCAAGATGGCCCAAGACGGCTCCAAGAGCGCCTCAGAGAACCCAAGATGAGCTCCAAGATGGCTCAAGATAGCGCAAGATCGCTCACGATGGCTCCTAAGATGGTTCCAAGAAGCCCAAAGACGGCCCCAAGATAACTCCAAGTGGCCAAACAGCTCCCCAAGGAGGCCCCGAAGAGGCCAAAATCGTCCCAAAACCTAAGGAAAATCAATGATTTTTGCTTTCTCGCCTTTTCGCTTCCGATGGCCATCCGAGGCCTGGAGATGGCTCCAAGATGGCCCAAGAGGGCCCCAAGAGAGCCCCAAAAGAGCCCCAAGACGGCCCCAAGAGCGCCCAAGAGCACTCCAAGAGCGTTCCAAGAGGGGTCCAAGAGGCGATTTTAGGGGCTTCCGAGGGGGGGCGCTAATTCACCCCCCCCTCTTGTTTGATCGATCCCTCCAAGATGGCCCCAAAAAGCGCCCAGGAAGCCCCAAGAGGTCCCAACATGGCCCCAAAATGGCCCCAAGAGGCCCCCAAGAGGCCCCCCGGAGGCCCCCAAGAGACCCCCAAGAGGCCCCAAGAGCCCCCCCAGATGCACCCAAGATGCTCCAAGAGGCCTCGGCGAGAATGCCTAATCATTGATTCTACACAGGTTTTAGCCACATGGAGGCCTCTTGGGGGGGGGCACGGATTAAGATGACTCCAAGAGCGTCTGGGAGAGCCCAAAATGACCTCCAAGATGGCTCAAGATATCCCAAGATGTCTCATAATGGCTTCCTCTGTGTGCTGCCCACTTCTCTGATCGAGGCAATTCCTCTGGGCATCGTTTCTGGATGGGCTGGTGGGGATTCGCGAAGCGACAACAATTAAATTCTGGTGTAGCTCGTGAAAATTACGCTCAGGCCACTGGCCATTCGTTCCGCTACGGCAGATTTCTTGAGCGCAATTTTCGGGCAGTCCGAAAAATCTCAGGGCGACGACGCCCCCCTGCATTAGCGTGGGATGAGCGGAAGCCCCCTCGCGTGCTGCCACTTGGCCAAAATAGGCCTCGGTACGCTGAAAATAACTCCCTACTCTCTGGCCTGGCGGAGGGGGAGGAGCAGGGAGACCCATGTAGTTCCCCTGGCCGCTGAGCGGTCAAAGGAGTTCGACTGGGATCGGCGTGGCACTGCTGTAGCTTGCATGGTTTCGCCCCAAGCTGACCCGAGTGGCCCCCCTGGCCGCGATGGAAGTCAAAGGGGGGTCGCCGGGATGTGCGGCAGCGAGAGCTGTGCGAATTTGCATCCAGGGAAGGCGGAGCGGAGCGGAGGACTCTCTCCCCTCCCTTCCTTCGTGCTGGGGCTCAAAGGGCCGACGTGCCGTTGCGACAGCTGGGCGCGATCGGAAAACTGGCTGCTGGACGCAGGTGGGGGGTGCTCAGGAGGCTGAAACGGTGGTGCGCCCATGTCCCACAGAAAGAATGGCCGTGTCAGTCGCGTTGCAATGGCACCAGGCGTTCATGCATTGGCTCTTCCGGAGTCGTCTGGGCTCAGAGTGATTGGTTGCTCTTTGCGTCCACGCTCTCACCCACCACCTACTGTAGCATTCGGGGACACCGCATCATGCCTCTTGAGTCAGGAAAGGTGCAGTCTTTGATCGCTAAGGTTCCAGAAGGCAAGTGGCTGAAGTTGTCGAGCAGTGCCATCGAAAAGTGGCTCCACTTCGTTGCGGACGCAAACGAGCCAATCAGCCACGACGAGGTGTTTTATGCCAGCGTCGCCCGAGTGATGTCCGAACAGATGGGCTCAGCAGCGCCGTCGGACTTCGCGGACCCACAGATGCGCACTTTCATCATCGAAGGTATCCGCGCAAACACCACGCCGTTCCAAGACGACCCTGAGGGATCGGAGTGGAAAGATGTGCGGCTCACCCCTGCGCACATCACGGCTGCTCTTAAAGTGCAAGCTCGGGCAGCAGGGTCTCAGAGCAACGGCCCGGCTGGCAGCGTTGAGCGTGGCACCGGGACCTCGCCAGAGCACCTGGCGAAGGCGATCGAGGCGCTTGCAAAGGCAACGCAAGAGCGAGACCAGCCCAAGAAGGAATACTTGTCTTTCAACTTGAAACAGCGCCTGGACGAGCTCGGTCTCGGGAATCTCCCAAAAGATATGATGCCCTCGGAGGAGGCTATGATTCGGTTGGAGAAAGCCAGTAAGGTCGCACGGGGCCAGGGCCGCCTTATATTGGGTCGGCAGAGGGAGAGGACCTCCAAGTCTCCTTTCGCCCGCCGTGGTCGCGGACACCCAAGATCGACGTGACCGTCGGCGAAGGCACCTTCGAGGAGAAGCTGCGCAGCGCGGTAGAGGCGAAGAAAACGAGGAGCTTGGAGGACAGGACCGCTTTTGTGGGATTCGCTACGTTCTATGGACATATCCTGGACTGGGGCGTGAAGATGGTCCTCACGAAGGCCATCACCTCCACGCAGTTGCTCGCGTACCAGATCGTACCCACCCGGGTGGCAGAAGAATGCGGCGGCTTCAGGGTGTGCACACACTACGATCTCTTGCTCAGACAGAAGCTCGCCCGGGAGTTGGAAAGGGACGAGCGGTCGCAGATAGAGACGCTCCTGTGCACTCTGGACCGCGACGTGCTGGCGGACGCGAAGAACAGCGCTGAAAAGCGCGTGAAAGAGACCGCGAAGGCGGCCACGAAGACGGGCCAGGCCTCTGGCCCCCAGCCGTCGCGGCCGGCACCCGCTTCCAGCAAGGGAGGCGGCAAGGGACCCTCCAAGGGAGGCAAGCTGCCCGCCCAGCACCCCAAGGGGCGCCAGGCCCACTCTCCTGTGCGTTCGCGCAGCCCCAAGGGGAACGGTGACTGGTATGCCAAGAAATGGGACAACACCAAGAAGGGCGACAAGAAGTGGTGAGCTGGTTCGCAAAGCGCCAGCGATGCGTCTGGGGATCACCCAGAGGCTCCTCCCCTCGCGCAAGAGACTTGCGAAGATAGTCTCGACGGGTCCGTCGGTTTTGCCACGGATCTGCATGAATTACAAGCTGAAGTGAACAGCTTGTTGCAAGATGTACATAGACTTGCTACCATGTCGCCTGTAAGCCATTTCAAGTGGGCGTTTGCCCTGCCTCCTTGCTTAGGCGTCTTCCGTGTACCTGCCAGCGCGCACAGCTCAGTTCTGCATGAAAGTGGGGACAGGAGCTCTTTACACAGCTTCCGGGCGTCTGCCTTAGCTTTCTGGCGCGAACGCAAGCGAGTGACAGATTTTGAATGGCAGCGGGAGTTCAGAACACTCCCAGCACACGTGCAAGCCGTTCTAGGTCCGGACAAAAACTTGCTTTTGCTGGCAGAGATGCTGGAGGCATCTCTTCAAACTTCATGAACCTGCTGGAGGGCCTAGAGTAGCCCAGACGCTCAATTAGTTAAAAATTTAAGGCGTGGTTTCAAGCTCGTTGGGGAGATCCCCCCGAGCGGCACGCTCCCCGCATGCTCACCTGTTCCGCCCTTGTCGTTAGAGGAACTCTGGCGACGGGCCCCTGCGAACAACGCAGCGCTGATTTTGAGAGCGGCTTCTTCTACCCTGTCGGATGAAGAAGCGGCAGCAGCACTGCGGGCGCAGACGGCAGCCGAGGTGGTGGCAGGTAAAGCTAGATGGACGCCGTTGTCGGCGACACTCAGCGAGGCGGTGTGTTCTCCACGTTTCGGAGTGGACGAGGGGTGGAAGTTTAAAGGTTCATCTTTTGTGCGCGCTGTCCGCGCCATTGATGATTTTCACGCTTCCAAGGTGAACGAAGCCACGCGAGTCGAGGAGCGGGTGCGTCACGAGCACCTCGACGCACTAGTAGCAATTGGCCAAGGCATCTGGGAAGCAAGTGGGCCAGATAGAGGCCCAGCAACACTTCGTCTTCGCAGGGATGACGTTGTAGGCGCATACAAGACTTTGCCGATTTGCGCGGATGACCTGCCTTGCGCTGTGGCCGTTACAGAGGACACGGCGCGAACAGGCTTCGCGTTGCAGCTCTTTTCTTGCCCGTTTGGGGCTGTTGCAAGCGTGCATGCATGGCGCCGCGTCGGTGCTGCGCTCCAACACGTGCTTGTAGAGCTGTTCCGCATTGTATACCCGCGTTTTGTCGATGACTTCTTCGGCGTCGACCGCGCGACGCCGGGAGATACTGCCCTCACAGGACCGAGTGGTGCTGCATTTCTTGCGCGCGAAGTCGTGCAAGAATTGTTGGGTTGGCAGCTGGACGACGCGAAAGCTGTCACCGACGCTTCTGTAGCCGTAATTCTCGGCATCCAGGTTGCCCTGGATGATGCCCGGGAGCTTTTCGTCTTTAGCATTCCCGAGGCAAAGCGCGTGAAGTGGATTGCTGAGATCGATAAGATTCTCGAATTGGGCATGCTGTCGCCGGCGCTGGCCCGGAAGCTAGCAGGGAAACTGAGTTGGGGAGCAACGATGGTGTTTGGCAGAAGCGCAAGAGTGTATCTTGCAGCTCTGTTCTTCCACTCGGCCCGTCGTCTCTCCAAACTCTCTCTGCGCCTGCGCCGGGCTTTCCACTGGTGGCTTCGCTTTTTGCAATCCAACCCTCGCCGCGAGATACCCTACCTGCCAGCTGCGCGGCCCCGGTTGGTCATTTATACCGACGCAGCGGGGTGCGGAGCACTCGCGTGGGTTCTCGCGCAGGGCAACCAAAAGCAGTTCGCCCGAGCGTGGGTGCCGCGATGGCTTCGCGACAGAGTGAAGCCGCGCCGGCAGCAAATCGGCACGTGGGAGCTCATTGCTGCGGTGTGTGGCCTTTGGCACGCGTACACCTTTCTGGAGCCAGGGTTGGAGATTTTGTTATTCGTGGATTCCAACCCAGCGCTCGGAGCATTGCTCAAAGGGACGTCCAGGCAGATCGATTGGAATGCTTTAGTGACGTCCATTTGGTTCGCGGCAGCAGACAGGGGCGACGTCTTGTGCCCCTTCCGTGTGCCGTCTGCTCAGAACCTTGCAGACGCCCCGTCCAGAGCCCATGAAGAGCCAGACAAACTGCGCACTCTGCTCGAGCAAGGGTTCGAGGAGGTGCACTGGCGCTGGCCGGAAGCAAGCGTTTGGGACGAGCTCTGGTGAGGACAGACACGAGCGCAGGAGGGGAAAAAGTTGCACGCAACAGTTGACCGTCGTGGCCTTCTCTTCTGGCTTCGTGGCCACCTGCCTGTCGCAGCCTGCCCCCTCATTCCGTAGCCTGTTGGGCACAAGCGTTTCTTGATGGCCTTCCAGTTTATCGATGCTTCCCGGCGGCGCCATCTAGAGGCCGCCCGGGGCGCGCAAGTGCCGCAGCAGACTCCTGTGCCAACAGAGCTGAAGGCATGGTTCCAGAGTGTGCTGGCCCGGACGCCAGCTTCGTGCCATCCGGCATCGCCTGACGCAGTCTTGCAGGCGCTGGCCGATTCTGGCGCTGTTCATGGCGGCGACCTCCAAGGCCTTTCAGCAGCAGAATTGCGAGAAGTGTGGCCACCTCTCAAAACGCTGTCCGATGACTTCCTGCGTTCCGTGTCGTGGCAGACGGGCGCGCGCGGCTCAAGCGCCGTCGTGCCTAAGTTGAAAAGACACAAGCCAAAACGTTGTTGTGAGCAAGAACTGCCTCCCGGGAGGCCGGCTGCCAGGGCGGCGGCCGACGAGCTTTCTGCAGCAGTGGAAGTTTTGGTGCAAGCCAGAGCTCAGAGATGTGCGCCTCCCGCTGATGTCCTGGCGCAATCAATTTCTGTCATTTGCAGAGCGCCAGCTCCGGGACTGCATGACGGCGCCGCGGCCTCATCTCTGCCATCGGCGAGAGCGCGGTGGCTGGCGCAAATTCCGGCGGAGCGTCGTGATGATGTGCTCCGCGGCCGCTTGCTGCTCCAGGAAATGGAAAACTGGCGACAGAGTGGACAAGGCTACGCATCAGCTGTGCGATTGTGGGGCAGGCTGGCAGCGGCAACTGGCGTACCAGAGTGGCCGCCTGATCAGGTGGTGCTCGCAGCGCTTGTATTTGCAGTCCCACGGGCGTCCACGCTGTCCCGGTACTGTTCTCATTTGCGGTCCACGCTCAGGCTTATACAGGCGCCTTCGGGGTCGCTGGCTGACACGAGTATGCTAGTCAAAGGCGCCCAGAAGAGCTGCACTTCTGCGCCGCGTCTCAAGGCCACTGCGTCTGCGAGGCAGACCCGCGAACTCGCGGGCTACGCCCGGGACGTGTTGCAAGACGCGGAGCTCGCAGACAGTTGGGTCGTGGCCAGACATTTCACATTGAGGTATGGCTGTGAAGTACTTAAACTAGGTGCCGACCCGTCGCACTCTGAAGTGCGGTGCCACGTCCGTGACAATGTGTCTGAGGTTACCGTCGTTTTGCACAGAAGGAAAATGCAAGACAAATCTGTGCATGTGGTGCGGCAGTGCATTTGCAAGTCCGCATCGCCAGACTTGTGCGGGGTCTGCGTCTTGCGTCGACGTTGCGGCCAGGGAGCAGTATTTCCAATCCTCCAGTACGACAGGGCTTTAGCAGCATTGAAAACTGCAGCTCTAGCACTTGGTTTCCCGAGAGGAGCAGAATGGGGCACCCACTGCTTCCGCCGCGGTTGGGCCAATGACGCTCTGCGCCATGGGGGAGTGCCAGCCTTGTTTTATTCAGGCGGCTGGCGTGGCTTAGCTGCGTTCGGCTACGCCGCGGCGCAGACGAAGGGGGAAGTTCTGGCTGCTAAGTGGGCAGCGGAGTTTTCCGATTCGTCAGACGATGGATCAGGCGTAGAGAGTTGAGAAAAACGACAGCAATATGCTATCTGGCTGGCGCTATTCCGAGCGAGCCCTGCTTGTCCCAAGTCCAGGAGGTCCGGGATTTAAAAACGGAGCGATGCTCCAGAACTCACGCGGGGATCCGGGCCCGAGTCGCCTACATTGGGAGTGTTATGGACAGGGCGAGTCGAGCCCTCACCATTGGGGCGCTTCTCTCGGGGCTCTCACTCGCCTGTCGCGCCGGCAGCGTCCAGATTCCTGGCCCACTGCAGGCGCGCCCACTCCACCAGAAGGCGGGCAAATAGATTTTCATACCCCCTAAACCAAAGGTTTCGATGGGGAGGAAAATCTAAAGCCCCGCCTGATGTAAACCGGTTGGTGGATTCATCAGTTGATGGCTTTAACCGTGTACGTAAACTCGTGGGCAATCACGGCTTGGGCTCCCGACGGAGCAGCGGATTTCTTCCAAGGCCTGGTTGGCTCCAACTCGGAGCAGCGGTGGTCTTCGACAACTCCGGAGGCCGATCGGGGCACCGCCCGGCTCGGGGGCGGGATAGCAAGTTCCCGGCACCACGGCCGCCGCGGAGCAAGCGCCCTGCGGGGTGCACTCGCTCCACCGGGGGGTCTTTGCAAGCCCCCAGTGGTCCACATAGTGGGCCAGGTGCTGTTCGCAGCGCCCGTGGTGTTGTTTGTCATCGCCTTCGTCGTTGCCCGCCCGCCCGCCCTTTTGGCTTGGTGTGGCTTCTGGGGAGTGTGGGGCCGGCGCGTGGCGGGGCGCTTCTCTCGGGGCTCTCACTCGCCTGTCGCGCCGGCAGCGTCCAGATTCCTGGCCCACTGCAGGCGCGCCCACTCCACCAGAAGGCGGGCGAATATATTTTCCACTGCGCCCCCATGCGACGCAGCAGGGAGTGCGACTCGCGCGAGCGCAGGTCGGCGATATTGTCCGCCGACGCCACGCGATGAACGTGTAGATTGCAAGTCGCACCCGGCGCCATGCGCCATACTGAGTGGACCAGGCAAGCGTGGTCAAATTGCTTCGCCGCACTGGACCGGGCGACCCACTCGGTGCCTGAATTATCCGAAAAGATATTCGCGCAACGGCCTGACAGGGGCGGCTCGAGGGTGGCCGGACCAGCGCGATGCTGAGCACCTCCAGACCGCCG